GCACATCCTGCAGGATTCTTTCCTTCAGGGTCCACTCTCCTGGAGTATCCCCTTCAAGGTCTGAGCGTCAAAGGGATCCCCGGTGGCCCAAAGTGTGGGCGTCTTTTGCAATCAGAGCTGCAGTGACAAGAGTGTCCCCAAGTCCCCTCACTTGAATGTGTCTCAAGCCCGGGCCCTGGGTGAGGCACAGGTCGGCAGGAAGGGGTGGACGTGCTGACCGCCGCTCAGCCACCCTCGCTGCGTCCCTGCACTGCCTTGACTCCTGCCGAGGACACAGCGCCTGGCTTAACTAGCTGTGCTCAGGAACCGTCCTTATGGAAGCTGGCCCTTTGGCCAGACAGATCAGAGACCTGAAGAGGAGGGGTGTTCCCCTCCTGTGGGTCTCAGGGGGTGACCTGGGGGAGCAGCCCCTGCAGTGGGCGAGAGAAGTGAGTGGGAGGCTGCCTCCCGAAAACTGGGCTCGTTTAGGTAGGAAGGGGGAGGTGGCCCATCCAGGTGGCTTCCAGGCCTGCTGACTTGAAAAGAACAGCGGAAACCAGAGAGGGAGGCCCCTTGCCCGTGCCTGGGACAGCGATGTGCTGGCCCCTGCACCCGAGCCGTGGGGGCGGCCGCAAACTTCCTTGGCGCCGGCTTTGCTGACACAGGCCTCCTACCTCCCCGGACCAGAAGTCAGATTTCACACGCCTGGATTTGGAAGCAAGCCTCGGAGAGAAGGGATTGCACCAGGAATTTTAGAACTGGGTGGGGGGAGCACCAACCCTGGCCGCCGAGGCTGCCGATGGCAAAGAGACTTTGGCTGAGACAGGGCAGGGAAAGGCCAAGCTGGCCAGGTTAAGGGAAAGCGGGCAAGGCTCTGTCCCCGTGGATGCCGGAGACAAGGCAGAGAAAGGACCGAACGCCAGGCCTGGAGCATTGCTCAGACTTGCCGTTGTCCTCACTCGGGAGCCCCACGCTGGCGCCAAATATGTCACCCCATGGGCTGCTCGGGGCTCTGGTCCTCAGCCGAGAAAGAGCTCCGGCGTGAGCCAGCGGCGGGGAGCGAGCAGCAGAGGTCAGGAGGAGGACCCCTGAGCAGCCCGCGGGCTTCCCACCAGGACCGAGGGCGCAGTCTGCATGCAGCCTGGGGTTTGTACGGACGTGAGCGAGCGTGGGTCCCCTGTGTCTTCTCCCAGGCTCCCTCTTCTGGAAAATTCTGGGTGGAGGGTTTCCGGATGTGGCGCTCCCGAAGATCCTCCCGGGACCTAACAGCCCCCTTGGTGCAGAGCAAAGGAGTCGGCCGCGCTGTCCCCGGAAGCTGAAGCCACTGACAGGGTTACTGAGGGAGAGCAGCGGCCTCCGGCCTCGGGCCTCGTCTCCTCGGTCCACTGCACACAAATTCTCTTTCTTTAACACTTCCCATTTTCTTCCCACTTCCCTTAAACACTCCCATCTTCCTCTGTAGCCGGCTTACACACGCTGGCTCGTGTCTACGCAGCTCCCTACCAGCCCGAGTCTCTGCCAGCGAGATGCTGTTTCTTCAGGGGGAAGAACCTCGGGCCCCTGACGAGGGGCTGGAGCGGTAGCTCCTCCGACACAGGGCAACAGCGTGCCCGTCCAGAACACGCCTGCGTCAGGCCCTGCACCCGGCTGATGGGACGTGGGAAGGTCGCCGTTCCTGAGCAGGGGTGCGGCCCACGACAGAAGCAGCGCCGTCTGTGCCGGGACACACAGGAACTCCAGGAAGCACAGCCCACTCCCCTCCCACCCCCACCCCCACCCCGGGCCCCGGGCGGGTCTTTCCAGAGCCTGGTCAGGTGGGGTTCTCTCATTCTGTCAGAACAGGGCACCAAGACAACTACACCTGTTCTGCTTCACACACACGACAAACGCGCTTTCGCCCTGACTTCTGTCACCGCTTCGATCTCTCCGGTGCTCGCTCTCGCTGGTTCCCTTCACCGCGACTCAGCCCCAGAGTCCGGCCCCTCCCAGCAGTGAGGGGCTGTTCTGGCGTTTTCTGTTTTCCAGGCTCCCGTTCCTGTGCACGGAGCTTTGATCTTCAAAGCCGACGCAGCACCTCGGGTCCCAGCTCCAGCGTAACCATAACTGGTGGTGGTTTCCTCTGGACTCGCCCTGAGAATTCTCGGGACAGCTGAGCTCCCGGAAGGCCCTGCAATGTTGTGCCTCCCTCCCCAGCCCCGACCGTCCTCCCCTGGCCTCCACTCCTGTTTCCAGAGCTCCAGGTCGCACACCCCAGCCCGTCTTCCTTACCTCTCTCACTATGCACGGGGCTGTCCCAGCCAAGCCCATGCCCTGGTGACTTGAACAACAGACGCGTGTCTTCCCGTGGTTCTAGGGCTGGAATTCGGAGGTCTGGGTGTTGGCAGGATTGGCCAGGGCGTGTGGGTGGCACCTCACCCTATGTCCTCACCTGCTCGCTCCTCTCCGCTAGTCTGTGTCATGACAAGTGAGGGCCCACCCTAGTGACCTCTTCACACTATCTCAAACACAGCCACATTCCGGACCACGGGCGCGGGGTTTCGCGGGGAGGTCAGGGCACCTGGTTCAGCCCGTGACACTCAGTGGGCACCCTGCACTGAGCTGCGTGGGCATCTCGGGGCTGTGGACCGGACAGCCCGGGCTGCACCTGAGTGTTGCGCCTGGTCCATGTGAGGCCACCAGGTCCCTCCGCCGTCCTGTGCCCCTCACCACCGGCCACGCAGGTGAAATGAGACCACAGCCAGTGCTTGCCAGGGTGCTGGGCACAGGCAACCCTGAGACAGACGTGTGAGGACGGCGGGGTGGTCACTCTGTGCCCATTTGCCATGGGAATGAACATGGACTGAGGAGAGCCTGGGGCTGGGCTGTGTGGGAGGCACAGGTATTGGTGGTTTGGGGGAGCCTCGAGGTTCCCGGACTCTGTGGACGTGGAGTAGTCTGGGATCTCTGTCCTCTGAAGACATGGAACTGAGCCCGAGTCACACCAGCACCCCAGCACCTGCCAGTGAGGACCCCCCCACACTGCTGTGCAGGAGAGGGGAGGACCGACCTGCCCCCAGCCAGCAGAGGGCAGTGTCGCGGTAGCCGCCTGGGTGTCTCAGGGACGCGCTGCCTCCTGGGCCGTGGCTGAGGCGTCCTCCCGGCTACGGCTCTAAGCCTTGTTTTTCCGACCAGGCGGCACTGCCCTCCTGCCCTCCATCCATGCCCGAGCTGAAGCACCGCGGGAGGGCTGTGCGCCAGGGACCGGGTAACCCTCGGGCCATTTGTCTCCGGACTTGGAGAGAACAGCCCTCGGGTGTCAAGGCTGACCTCTCCAGCTCTCGGAGCCCTGTTTGTTATCAGCAAAGAGCGAGCTGCTGTCCGCCCCTCCGAGATGGGAAAAAGCTGGGCTGTCACTGCGGGATCTAACGAATGACTTCCTGCTCGGAGCAGATTCCAGAAGGCGCAGAAACAGGCGGGCAGGGCGGAGGGCCCTCCCGGCCCCTAATTCCTCACATGGAACCTCTCCAAAGCAAACCACAAGCAAATGTGCTGCTCAGTAAGCGTCTAGATTCTTCCATGAGGACCCAGAGGAAAACGATCGGGACGCACTGCTGGAAACCACCTTGTCTCTCCCCTGATGCGACGGTGCCCTGTCCAGGGGGTCAAGAAACAGGAACCACACACGTGATCATAATCTGACTTTGGCTTTGGTTGCCAAGAACCCGGGGTCCAGTTCAGCTGCGGGGACCACGTCCTGCCAGGTTTCTCACACTCTGATTTCTCCTGTCTCAATCTTTCCCTAAAAAAAAAACCAAATTTTCACAGTCAAGCGTCCAGTTTCGTTTAGTTTCCTTTCGCTCTTTCGCTCCACAAACACAGCTTTTACGTAGCTGCATTCTGCTCACACTCGACTTTTTCTGTTTTTTTTTTTTTTTCATAATATTACATAATATTAGCTCATAAATACCATGTTTCTACTTAGGTATTCTTTTTGCCTTTTTTTTTTTTTTTTGAAGATTTATTTGAGAGGCAAAGTTACAGACAGAGAGAAGGAGAGACAGAGAGAATCTTCCATCTGCTGGTTCACGCCTCAAATGCCCACAACAGCCTGGGCTGAGCCAGGCCAAAGCCAGGAGCCAGGAGCTTCTTCTGGGTCTCCCGTGTGGGTGCAGGGGCCCAGGTACTTGGACCCTCTTCCACTGCTTTCCCAGACGGTGGCAGAGAGCTGGATCGGAAGTGGAGCAGCCGGGACTAGAGCCAGCCAGCGCTGCAGACAGAGGCTTAGCCTACCGCACCACAGTGCCGGCCCTTCTTCTCTGCCTTTTCGATAGGGACATACTCTCCATCAGGTCACTGAATACCAGTTTAATGGAAGCCAATGGCACAGACTGTAAATGGGCTGCTGTCGGACACCGCACTTTTCCCAGATTTTCACTGTCGTAAATAATTCTGCTGTTGCAAAAATAAATGAGAAGTTACGAAAGAGGCACAGCGTGGCTAACATGCGTACATAGAACGTTCCGCCACTGCTGAGAACACACTGGGAAAGCGGACAGTGGCGGAAGGGCCCGGGCCGCCAAGGATGCATCGGGGCGGCTGCACATTCGCCATCCTCTGGGTGCCGCCAGGGCTCCTGCACGGCTTCGGGGCCAGAAGAGCAGATTCGGGCGAGCTGGGAGCATGCGTGATTTATGCCTGTGCCAAAGTCAAACAATGTCCCAGCAGGGGAGGGTAGCCGAGTGGCCGTGCGTCCACGCATGTGTGTGCGACCTCAGGTCCTCACCGGACAAAGAGCTGCCTGTGACGTCCAGAGAAACAGACCCTTCCACACAAGCGGCCCAGGGACGAGCCAGGGTGGGAAACCCGGTGGCCAGGCTGCCAATCTCCAGCGCTGAGGCTCCTGGGTCAGGGACCTGGCACTTGGTTACTCCTGGACACCAGCACCAGGTGCCCCTGTCTCCCAAGAGCCCCCGGAGCGGGGGACAGGACACATGAGGGTGTCTACACACGCGAGGGGCTGCATTACCCAGGACTTTCATTGCTTCGTTTTGTTTTTAAGATTTATTTACTCATTTGAAAGTCAGGGCGACAGAGATGGGAAGGCAGGGAGGAGACGGGGGGAGGGGATCTTCTATCTGCTGATTCATTCTCCATAGTTGGGCCAGGCCAAAGCCAGGAGCCAGGAACTCCATCCTGGCCTCCTATGGGGGTGTCAGGGGCCCAAGTTCTTGGGCCAGCATCCACTGCCTTCCGAGGCACGTTAGCAGGGAGCTGGACCTGCAGCAGCACGGCCACGACTCAACCAGCACTCAGATAGGGGACGCCAGTGTCACGGCAGCCACGTCACAGCCCCCAGCCCCCGAGGCTTCCGTCTAAGCACAGGCAGGAAGGACGGACAGGGCGCTGACGTCCAGCGCCCAGGGTGGTCGCCTCTGGGTGTAGCTCGGTGGGAAGAGCCTCAGGTTCCTGACTTTCCCGTAACTCCGAGTGTGCCTGGGGGAAGGAGGCCTCGAATGAGCCGGGCCGGGGTCTGGGGAGGTATCCGGGCACCCCGTTCATTGTGCAGACAGGGAAACTGAGGCCACAAAGATTCGTCCTACAGAGCAAGGCGGGGCCAGGGCTGCTCCCCTCCTCCGGCCCTGAGGGTGCCCCGCTTTTACCTCCACCAGCCCCAGCGGCTGCCAGCGAGGTCAGTGGGTGGTGACCCCTCCACAGGAGTCATCTTGGATTCTCACAGTCACAGAGGCCCCATCGCTGGCCACCTTAGAGGATGCCAACCGGCCACACAGCAGGAAGTGGCACAGCCTGGACGGGAACCAGGTGGGTGGGCTCGACCTCAGAGTCTGACTCTTCCCCACTCTCTCAGATGTGCCCATGGGTGCCCGTGTTCCCGACCCTTGGTGGCCGAGGGACAGGGACATCTGGTGGGGCTGTGGGTGGTGAGTGCGGGACCAGTGGCTGGGTCCCGCCCTTCTCAGCTGCAGGCTGGCGCGCGGGGAGTCAGTCCCCAGGGCTGTGCTGGTGCCATCTTCGCACTCAAATGCAGGCATGAGTGGCAGGCACCTCAGCTACTCCGTTTCCTTCCCCCGATGTCTTCTCAGCTACCCACGGCGGATGCTCCCTCCCCAGCCTCACAAAGGGACCCTGCAGATGACCAGTGTCACCTGCTGCAGCCCCCATGGCCCCTGGCAGGCGTGGCCTCGTGGCCAGGGGGTCACCTGGGCAGCGCCGGGCAGTCATTGGACCCCTCTGGGTTATCCGTCTCTGGATCTCCTCCTGTCTTCTTTCTCAGTCACCTCCCCCTCCCCTCATACCAAGTTAAGACCCCAAAGTACTAACGCATTTCCACTCTGTGCAGCCCAGGGCCCTGGCTCCCCACAGCACGGGCTGTGTGCGCCCAGGTACCCCAGGCCACCCCTGCTCAGGACGCACGGCTCGTCTTCCTGAGCTGCCTGGGGCCTCTGAGCCTCTGCAGGGGCCGATCCCTGGGCCCTTCACCCCTTTCCACCCCTTTCCCCACAAGGGCCAGTCCCAGAGGCCTCTCTCACAAGCTGTCCTGGGCTCCCGGCAAACCTCAGACCTCCGAGGCACCCTGTGTGGAAGAGATGTGGGTTTTGATTGGAACCCAACGCTCACTTGGGAAAGAGCACACGGAAACAGCTCGGTGCACCCGACCTCGGAACCACGCCCCAGTGAAATCACCGGAAAGTGCCCTCAGCCTCCCTCCAGCCCCGGGGGCCACCCCAGGAGCACCCTCTCCCGCCCTCTGACCTGTTCCTGTCCCATATGGAAGGGGATCCTGCAGCCAATGCCCTGGTGGCTGGCCCGGGACGGCGCCTGCTCCAGGGGTCACGGGGCTCCACACGTGTGCGCACTCTGCCGGGAAGCCTTGGTGGATGTCGGCTGTAACCAAAGCCGTGCACTTCTGCTAGGCAGAAACCCGTGAGGGGAGGTGCTGGCTCCTGGGACCCAGTCCACGAAGTGGCTGTGGTCTCACCCCTCGCTCCCACCTTCACCTGCCCCAGGGCCCGCCTCCCCCACCCCACCCCCATTTGAAAAAATAAATCTGCTTGTGATCCCAACAGACCAGCCCACCCTCAGTCACCCCGGCCCAGCTGCAGCCCCGATTCCAGCACGAAGCGGGTGCTGCAGGCCCAGCCAAGGCTGCCTCCTCGGCTTCCCGGGTCCAAGCGTGCCCGGCTCATTCTGCCGCCTGGCCGGCTGGCAGCGCCCCAGACCCCGGGGCCGGCGGCGAAGGCCGGAACGGAGCAGAAGGGGTGGGGTGCGGGGCTCGTCCGCGGGAGCCCCGAGCGGGCTGCACCCTCGGCCGCGCTCCAAAGGCGCCGAGTCCGATCCCGAGCCCGCGCCCGGCCCGCGGGGGCCGAGGGGATCGGGTTTCACGCGCGCGGAGGGGGGCGGGTGGAGGCGCATCCGGCCCGAAGGCGCCCCCGTCTCTGCCCCTCCAGGGAAGCCCGGGGCCCGGAGCGGGAGAGGGGAGGGTCCCGCCGGCCCCGCCTCCGCCGCGCCCTCCTCCCGGGCGGGATAATTGAACGGCGCGCCCGGGCCCGGCGTTGGCTGCCGAGCCTCGGCCCGAGCGTGGAGCGCGCGCCGCACGCCGCGCCCGCCGAGCCAGGAGCCGCCCGCGCCTTTGTCCCTGCCGGCCCCATGGAGCGCGCCGCGCCGTCGCGCCGGCTCCCGCTGCCGCTGCTGCTGCTCGGCGGCCTCTCGCTGCTGGCGGCCCGAGGTAGGGCGTCCCCGCCACCGCCCCGCGCCGGGGGGTAGTCGTGGAGAGGCCGGGGTCGGGCCGGTGCGCTCCCCGGGACCGTCGTCGTGCGGTCCCCTGAGCAGCGGGGCTGCCCAGACCCGGGCGACGTCTCCGGGCCTCCCCCAACTCCCGGCCCAGCCCGAATGCCGGCCTGTCTGGGGGGGTTGCTTCCAAGGCGGGACCCCTCCCACGCCCGCGCTCCGGCCTCAGCCCCCGCAGATGGAGCCGGCTCCGAGGGCCCTTCCCGGGCCTTGGCGATGGGGGCGCTGGCTGCGGGTTACCGAGCCCCCCGCCTTGCACTGGGAGCCTCCTTAGTGTGTCTTTCAGTGCCCCAGCTTGCGAATGGGGAACGGACCCCGGTGGGGAGCCGTCGGGTAAGGGGGTTGGGGGAGGCTGCAGACCCGGGCCCTCCTCTCTGCCTGCCCTCCTGCCCACCAGGCCCCACGCTTCGCTAGGACTTGGCTTAGGCGGCTTCCAGACCTACCCACTGTGTGACAAGGGGGGGATGGAGCCCCCTGCAGCAGGTCCCGGCCCAGAATTCCCTCCCCAGCCCCCCAGGCTGACAGCATGGGGTTGGTGGCCACCCAGGCTGCGCCCTTCTGGCTCCTGGGTTCAGAGGTCCGGTGGATCAGAGCCGCTTGGGGGGCGGGGGAGCCATGACCTGCGACCTCTCTGCTGACCCCATGGCTTCCTGGGGCCGGCAGTCAGGCCTGGCCCTGCTGGAGTGTTTGTTTCTCCCCAGGGCCAGGGCAGCTTCTTTATGCCTTGTTTAGTTTCTTTTGAAGTCGCTAGTGTTCACAGGCCTCCTTGGTCGGAAGGTCGCGGCTGAGGAGGGGGCTGGGCTGTGGCGGCGGCCTCTGGGGCTGATAGCTGTTCTGGGCGCTGGCTGTGTCCTGGGCCACTTCTCCAGCTTGGAGGTGGCTTGGGGAGGCACAGGGCTCCCAGGAGGCCTCTTGGGCAGGCCTGCAGGTGGTCCGGCAGGAGAGACCTCCCAAAGGGGCTTGGGAGTGGGGGGCACCCGGAGAGGAAGGGGGCGTCCAGAGAGAAGGCTGAGTTCAACTCTCAGGGGACTTGGAGACCCCAAGCCCCTCCCCTCCCCCACATTCTTTTGTGCCTGATAACTTTGTCCCTGTGCTTTGAAGGAGCACCGTAAGGGCATACAAAGTGTCCTCCATGAAGTCTGGGTGGTCCCATGGTCCTGTGTTTGGGGAGCACCCTCTTGGAGTTTGTTTGCGCGGTCTGGTCTGGGGAGAGGGGGTTAAAAGACAGCCTGGCTGCTCTCCGCTGCTGCAGGCCGGGCCGGGCGCCTGGCAGCCAAGGCCCCTGCAGCCCTGCAGGGTCGTAGGTGGCACAGCCCTGCACCCTGGAGAGCTGCGGGGTACACAGGGAAACCACACTTTGACCGCAGCCGTGAAGGCGAGCCGATGGAGAGCGCCGGAGCCACTGTGCTGACAGGCCCTTGGCGAGGGCCACCTGGCCACTGGCGGGCCGCGGGGCACGGCGGAGCCGCCTGTCTGTCCTCTGTCTGTCTGCCCTGTTGGGCTTTACCCAGAGCTGGGGCGGGAGGCGGGGGCGGGGAGGAGCAGGGGTCGGGCGGACGAGTGTGTTTTCTCCAAGACTTTCTTGGCCTCTGGTTTCGACTGATTAAAAGAAAAGTCGCGCCGGGAGGGAGAACAAAGGCTAGAGAGAACTTGGCTTACAAACATGTGGCCTGGGCCGCTGCCCTTCTGGAAGGTTCCCAGCTGGGAGGTGGGGCCCAGAGCTCTGAACGCTTGAAGGACCAGACTGGGGGGCACCAGGGAGGGCTCCCCTGCTGGGCCCAGGGCTGATGGCCCCCTCCCCCAGCACAGCTGCCTTTGCCTCCCCCAAGGACTGGTGGGAGGGAGCTGGGGATGAGGGGGCAGCTCAGGCTCAGGTCCCAGCAGGGTGCCATGAGTGGGTGCGCCAGCCTCATCCACAGTGGTCTGGTGGTTTTCTCCATGGCCTGGTGGGGGCGGCCACACCTCCCGGTAGGACGGAGGGAGAGCGCTCGGAGCTGGAGCTGTCTGCTGCGTGCACAGGGTCCCCTCTCCCAGGGCCGGGACAGAGCCAGCGTCCCGGACTCAGCTGCAAATCCCAATACTGGGCTTCCCCAGCCGGACGCTTCCTGGGAAGGAGACCGCAGAGCCAGCAGCTTCCGAGTGCCAGTCTCGGGTTGGCACCGGTCCTGCCACCCGGTCCTGCTGAGTGGTGTCTTTGGGCCTTCGGTCATTGGTTTGCTCAGCGTCGGCTCTGGGTCTTGGGGAGACCCAGCTCTGCCACCCCGTGCCGCTCGGGCTCCCAGATGAACCAGAAAAAGGAGCCCAGCCCTCCTGGCAGAGTCTGGAAGGACTTCCTGGAGGAGGTAGATGCACCCCGGGGCCTCAAGGAGGAGAGGCATGGGCAGGGACTCCAGGAGGCGTAGCCCCTCCCCACGGCTGGGAAAGACCCCTGCCCGCCCGGTACTCCCCGAAGGCCAGCCTCTTAGCCGTGGGCACGGTGGGCAGGGCAGCGTTACAGGTCAAGTGTTATGAAAACAGCTCTAACAGACACCTCAGAGTTTTGCCAGTGGATTTTGTACAATAAAAGGCTTTCCTTTTGCAAAATATAAAACTGTAGCAATTTGATTAATAGATGCTCTTGCAGTCCCCGGATGGCGCCAGTTTCTAGGCGATGATTTCAGATGTGGCCACACAGCAGATCCGGGGTGGAGGAGGAGGACAGGAGCCTGTTGTGGACTGGCCTGGGATCAGAGGCTGGGAGCCTGCTGAGGTCGTCTGCCCCAAGTCCGCCACATCCGGGAGCGGATAGGGCTGGCCGCCCCCACCCGCCCTTAATCCTTGGGTTCTAACTCCAGGGTGGGTCAGGAGGGTGGGGTACCTGCTGCTCCAGCTGCGCGCTGGAGGGTCCTGCTTTGTGGGGACCGGCATTCGGTGGGGCTGTTTAGGAGACCGGTGCCCCGGTGCCAGCTCTGGAAGCTCTTTGCCCGGCTCCCGTGACCCTCTGCGTCCATTTCCTTTGTGTGAGTTGAGGGCGGCTTTGCTCTGGGCGACTCTCCTAGCTGGACTGCTTCACGTTTAGTCTCCAATGGATCCTCCCCACAGCCCTGCTACCTCAGAGGTCCAGTACTTTTCCTTTTGGGTCTCGTCCCCGGCTGGAGTGAGACTAGATGTGCACTTTGCTACCCAGTGGCTACTGGCTGTGGCCTGTGGCTTCCCTCCGGATGCACTGGGTGCTGCTCCTGTGAGCTACTGGGGTGGGAGCGGAAACCCCGCACCTGTCGCTTTGCACCTGCGCCCCACCTGTGCTGCCTCCCTGCGCCCTGAAGGCAACCCTGGAGGGAGGCACTGCCCTTACCTGTATATATTTAAAGATTTATTTATTTATTTGAAAGGCCGAGTTGTACAGAGGCAGAGGCAGAGAGACAGAGGTCTTACCGAACCACTGGATCACTCCCCACAACAGCTGGAGCTGAGCCGATCTGAAGCCAGGAGCCAGGAGCTTCTTCCGGGTCTCCCATGCCGGTGCAGGGGCCCAGGGACTTGGGCCATCTTCTACTGTTTTCCCAGGCCATAGCAGAGAGCTGGATTGGAAGAGGAGCAGCCAGGACTTGAACCGGCACCCATAGGGGATGCCGGCACTGCAGGTGGTGGCTTTACCCACTAAGCCACAACACCAGCCCCTCTGGAGTTTAATAACAGGCAGGGGTGTGAACTCTTAAGCCAGGGTTGGATCTGAAGCTCCTCTGGTTTGGTGCTGTGGCCTCTGGGGAGTTGCTGCTGCTGTCTGCCCCTAATTGAGCACACGATTTCATTTGCTCATTCATTCATTCACACACAGTGATCGACGGCTCAGGGGCAGACATGGGCAGGGTGCAGGAGACAGAGCCCATCCCAGCCCTCGTGGCGCCAACTAGAGTTAATTATTTGTGTGCAATTCAGGGAACAAAGGAATCGGCTCTGTCGTGTGTGTGTGTGTGTGTGTGTGTGTGTGTGTGTGTTGGGGGGTGGTCAGGGAGGACCTCTTGGAGAAGGCGAGCTTTGCACCGGTGTGGTGGTCTGAGGACAGGAGCTGGCCAGGGACTACCTGGCCTGCCCAGCGCTGTCATCGAAGGCCAGGCATGGAGGGTGCAGGTGCAGTGGCCAGAGGGAAGCTGCAGAGGTGTCAGGGTGAGGGCAGCCTGTGAGTGCACTGCCTGGGGGGGAGCCAGATGCTTCCCCCCTCCCCCCAGACGTGCCTAGTGCCTCCCTCTGCGCCAGACCCCCAGACCCCCGTCTCTGTGATGGACGCTGGGAGCGCTCTCAGGACTGGTGC